GAAAGAGGGTAGAGGGGGGGACGACATGCAGCAAAGGGCGGCAGGTTGGAACTGGACCACTGCCCCTGCGGTAAGGACTCAGCCAACATGGGGCCCGCAAGTGAGCTATCGTGCACCTCCCCCCCAAAATAGATGTTTTATTGAAAGAAAGTGACACATATGCTACAAATATCTGTAAGACAAGTTTTAAATTGTATGCTACATACAGTAAAACCTAGTACATCGTCACCATAACCAATAGAAAATACAAAGTACAGACCCAGGTTCTAATACTGATACTAAACTGGAATCACTGACATCTGCACTATCCCTCATTATCTCACACTAGTGTTCACCTAAAAGACTAAACAGCTTTAAAGATGCTGACTGATGTTTTTGGAGCTAATTCCATACAGGAAATTATTTTTTCTGCCTTTGCTAACACCTTTGAAGGAATGCATAAGACACACAGGTTTGTGTGAATACAAATCATAGTACAGTAATTAGTATTTTATCTCCTTCCTTCTATTGCTCTTGCTCTACCCACTCTTTTACCTCTTGTCTTTGTCTCACTCTCTCTCTGTCTCTGTGGTACAAGGGAAGAATTCCCTTCAACTCCTCCACAAAATCACAGACAATTAAAGCAGAGCATTTTTCGCCTAAGGGCCTATCTGCTCTGTGTACTTAATACAGTTCCACACACACACACACACACACACACACACAACAAAACCCACACACCCTCCCACACGCACAGAAATAAAGACATACAGTACACACACACACACACACACACACACACGCTCTCACATGTACAAACACACAAAGGCCAGTCTCTGTTGTGCATTTTATTTGGCCATGGCTTTAATGGGGCTTTTTATGGAGAACAGGATTACAGAATCACATCCGTCTCTCTCTGCCAGCTGATTGGACACTCTCCACTCTGTCATTCAAACATTGAATTTAGCCCGAGCTGCTGAATGCAACGGTGCGTTTAGCCCCCCTTTAGTCTGGTCTAGCCTTAGTTACACTGACTTAACTACTGGCAAGTTTGGATCTTACTGTTTCACTGGGTGAATCATGTCAACAGCTCAGTTAGCATCTTCCCCGCCACTGACTTTAATGACCTCTGTTTGAGGAATATAATGATTTGGCTTGCTTACAAGACGTTTCAAGTTTTACATAATGAAAGCAGCATGAGGCAACTTAAAATGGGGAAGTAACTTTATAACAGTAAATTGTTTTTGCAAATAGACAGCCAGGGGTATCAACTGGAAGATCTAACAGCCATTAGTCCAGCTTTCCCTGGAAAGAGTGCTGGCCACTACTTAAACCTTCCTTCATTGATTTTATTTCTTTTTTTAGCCACATGTGGGCAGTGCAACAATCTGTAAACACAACATTGCCCCTAAATCACAGCATTAAGGTGACACAGTGAATGTGATAGCAAACAGTTGCTTATTTACACATCCAGCAGACAGGGAGCAGCGTCATGTTTCTGGCGACCTTTCACCTCTCTGTGTAATAACACTCGCACAGCCTGAACCCAATATGTAATGCGTTTTCCCATATCTTGCAATAGTTAGTAGAAGGTTGAATATACAAAAGCTTTTTGGTCGTCTTTTGGGGAAGCCCTGTCAAAAGACCACTGCAAGCTTTGTCCAGTTCTGGGTAGGCAGCCTGTAGCTGGTTTATCAGCTACCTGTAGACTGATGGGAGCAGTGAGAGTGAACCAGAGGTTGTGGAGTTGACCTGAGTTGGACCTGACAGGGGAATTTGCCTGTCTGTTTAAACTTAGATTGCCATCAGATATAACAACCAGGTTCTTGGCTTCGTACGGGTCTGATGTGCTGTGGGGGGCCAGAGAGTAGGATCTCTGTCTTGTCCTCATTTAACTTTTAAATTATGAGCCAGCAGCCTTTAATATCTTGGAGACAGTTTTGTAAGAAGTGGGTCTGTTTTTCTTTCTTTCCAACTTTCTGCTGAAAGTCCTGCCTCTCTAACTTTTCTTCGAGTTGAGATTTCATAACAGATGCTGGAATTATTCAAGTCTCAGTTTTGTTAGTTGAGCTGGCGAGTCATGTGTGGTATCGACCATCTCAGACACATTACAAATGGCAATCAATGGATTTGTCTCTTGTCTTATTTTGCTCGTCTCCAACGCTTCTCAAAGGAGCTAATAATTGGAGCTGATAATTGCTACCAGGCTCATAACATATTGACCCAAGCCGCTGTAATAAGCAGGTGAGTGCAGCCGAAAACATTCCATTTCAGAAAATTGATATAATTAGCATGTCTCTTTGCGTCCCCACCAGGCGAGACTGTGTTGAATAAACAAATCCTCCCGTGTCATATTTCAAATCCAGTCAGCATTCTCATTAAAATGTCAATGTATATTCGCTGTGGGGACTGTTGTGTATTTCAGCTTAAAAATGCCAACTGAATGGTTATATTTTCCAGGTTGAACTTAATTATATGATTCACACCAGTGACTCTGGCAGCACAGAAAAAAAGTCATTTTTCTTTCGCCTGCTGGGTTTTGTGAGCAACTTATTACGTGATCAATCACATACAGCATGAACAGACCGGGATCAATTAATAATTGAAAACCGTTAAACTACTTGAAGCGCTGATTGGAATCTGCCTTAAGTCAGAGGCAAGGAGTGTAGAAGGGGCACCAGGTTAAATAGACATGATTAATCAACGCCAGAACAGTATTTGCATTCATTTGAAACACTGTTTATGTGTGTGTGTGTGTGTGTGTGTGTGTGTGATGTGTGTGTATTTACAGACAGTATCAGTTGTACTAATTCTAAGCAGGTTTTGAGTGTATAGTGTGTTTACATTAGAAGCTTGATTTTTCATTGTGCTGTTGATGGGCTTTAGTCTCCCACAATGCAATGCACAGAGTACGTTGAGGAGGCGCTCACTAATTGCAGATGTTGGTGAAGCGGCCCCAGGAACACCTTAGCAAGTATTAAAACTTTAGATAAAACATTCAACTTCATCTTAATTAGCGGAACTCATTTTAATTGATGCACTACGCACAAAACCATGATGCTGTACAGATACTGTGTACAAGTGGTACAGCCACTGTTTGTGCTCGAGCTTGTGCAAGAGTGTTATACGCGTGGTATACGCCATTTGATATAAGTGCACATTTGCAAAGACTTACATTTTATTGTTTTTTAATGTGTGTGGACAAATATGTGGCGCCTGACGCCATAAATGTGACATATATGAGTGTACTAGTTCTCCATCCATTGCTTGTGTGTGTGTGTGTGTGTGTGTGTGTGTGTGTGTGTGTGTGTGTGTGTGTGTGTGTGTGTGTGTGATTCCCTACAGCCTCTGCTAGTGTCTGTTGAGTGCTCTAACCCTCGGATTACACAGCAGAAAATGATCAAATGCATTGACAAGGCAGCTCCTCAACCTCATCATGTAGCGTCCTCCGGCGAAGGTAGCAGTGCCCCTCTACTGCCATCTATAGGCAGCCTGGCTTCATGACAGATGGCTCCCAGTGATAACTGCTGGAGAGCAGCTTCAGTGTGAGGCTGCTGTTGGCTGCAGCCATCTTCCCCTGAGAAAGTGCAGATAATCATTTCATCATTTCCTCATTTCCTCATTTATTGACAGGCGCCCTGAGCTACACTGTTAAGTTTTCCAGCGTTGTAGAGAGAATTAACATCCATTAGAGTGTTATACAGCGTGTGTGTCTGAATATGTGTGTGTGTGTGTGGTTAGAGTTTGAGCCTAACTAGACTTGCAGCTCTGAGGGCGAAGAATGAGGAGCTCAGATATGACAGGCTCATCAAATATCTCGCTTGGCTCAGTGCTGTAGCGAGACTACCGCTGCGTCGAGAGGCTCTGGCCTAAAAATGACCCTCTCCCCGGTGTGTTGCCAATCATTACTCATCACATTAGACACATTCTCAGCTCCATCTTGCCGTGCTGCCATTCTTTGTCTGATTCTCTTCGCGGCTACAACTCTTCTCCTGCCTTTCTTTCTCTTTCTCCCGTTTGACAAACTCATGTCAGCCGATTTTGGGCCACACTCTTATTCAGCTAACCGCCTTTCACTTCACACCTTACAAAACTTTCCCCGGAGCCCCCATTGTGTGCTGTTATTGTGGAACTTACAATAGACCAGAACAGACAAATGCCCTTTGATTGTAGCGTGACTCTGCAAATTTTGTGCCACTGACATCGACTGCAAGGGTTCTGTCGACTTTTACTGTGTCATTAAGCTGAATGGATGTCTCCAAGCAACATTTATGTTAGCTTTTTTTCTATACTGCAGTGTGGAAGGCTCTTGAGTAGTTATTGAGGATGGAAAGAACCTTGGATGACAAGTTTTTATCAGTGGAGGAAAATACCAGCACTACAGAGTTATTTACTGATCTCTGCAATTGCTCAGCTTCTTAAATTCCCATCCCACCGTTGTTCAGTGCATATACTATTGTCAAGAGTGATAACTGCAAAGAGCATTACCTCAGGCTGAAAGGGGCCCATTCATTGTGAAACTGACAAGCTTGTCACAAACAGCCTTGTGCCTAATAGAAGGTATCAAGCAAATCTGCTGCAGAGCTTTGTGTGGAGAAATAGCTCACTTGTTCTGTTGAACAGAAATTTTGAAAGCAGTTAAAGTTTGGATGAAAATATATTAATAGTTTCTTTCAGCAGGGACAATGACAATGTTTTTTCTAAGAAGCTTCGTATTTATATAGAAGGATTTTTTAATGTAGGCCTTTCTTGTAAATGCAGTAAATGGTGACACACAATAGGAAATGGTCTTCAGATATAGAAATCTGGCACAGAGAAGAGACTGAGCCACAATGCTGAAGAAGCAGATTTTTTTTTCTAGAACAATTTTGCATTATTATGTCTCTTCAGTCAGTAAATGATCAGAATCCTTTGTGTTTTCAATTTCTTAAGACTGTAACAACTAATCCATTTCTCCTCTCTTTCTTTCTGAACCCCGTCCTTCTTTCTTTCTCCTTCCCTCTGTTTGTTCTCCATTACAGCCGCCCTGCAGGTGTCCATATCCTTGAACAAAGTGGAGTTAAGTGTCGGAGAGTCCAAGTTCTTCATCTGCACAGGTACAGATGCCACTTACTATTGCTTTCGTGTGGATGTGCTGTGTTTGTGTGTTTCTGGAGGCTGGTCAGAAATGCAGCGGGGGGGCTTGAAATGAGCGCTTGTGAAGTCTGTTTGTTGTTTGCATGGCAGTGAACACAACACAATCCATGCTGTCCATATGGTGAGTGACTCTGTGACCCAGCGGTGACTGGATCCACGCAGGGGACGCCCCTGACCCCCTTGTCCCTCCTCCCCATTGTACTCTCTGAACGGTATATCAACACTCAGCCATAACAGAGAACCCGACGCCATTGCCAGTGGCTCGGCGGGATGGCAAAACACTCTGGCAGGCCCGGCCCGCCTCCTGCTGGCTGCCTCTTCTCTCCTGCCAGCCCACTCAGCGTGGAGCTAACAGCCAAGGGAGTAGAGAGACACACCAGGGGGAACGTCGAGGGGGTGTGGAGGTCTAACATGTGCTGAGGAGGACAGACTGGGGGGGGGGTAGAAAGAAATAGAGGTGAATGGATTCAAACTGGCAGAAACTGAAAGGCAAAGGTATGAGCTTTTATTGTGAAAGAGCTAAAACGTCAGAACTGAGAAGAATGTAAAAGGCTTTGAGGCAAAAGAGTGTTGGAGGTGGGAGATAAGTAGCCACCTTCCACCACCAAAGTGCGTGGGAGGAAGTGTTTGTGTCACTCACTGCTTTCTTTTGCCCTTTTCCACCACGGGCAGTCGCACTATGCCTGATTTTTTACCTTATTCACATGCAGTTCTGCCAACTGTAGTGGGCTGAAAAGCAGGGCAGAACAGTCAGAGGCAAAAAGCAAAAGCCCGGTAAAACCAGAGCGAGCCTGCGACCATATAAATAAAGAATGAGTCTCTTCAAGTGACTTTTTGACTTTAAATTGCAGAGACCCTTTGTATGAATCAGGCCTACATAAATATGGATTAGAGAAAAGAAAGCCCACAAAGGCATTTGTATTGTATGTTGATTGGTTTCGTCTGTGAGGAGAGACAGAACAGAGAGGTGAATGCGCTGTTGTTGTTGAGAGAAAGGAACCTGGGTGAAATCAATTCACTAGCTCGATACAAATCTTTCTTGTTTCAAAAGTTTGCCAGGAAGAATCGGCAGCAGGGTAAAATGATCAAACGGCACTTATTTTTTTTCAAGAGAGCACAACTTTTGTTGTTGTTGTTGTTGTTGTTGTTGTTCAAACAAACCGTTTTCGGTCAAAATGAGGAATGTCAAGGTGCCAGCCTGGAAGAAGAAGGATTGTATCACATCCTGGTTTTGAGTTCCTTTTTTTGTGTGTGTGTGTATCTTTTCTATTCCCAAATCTCTCCTGTTTCTTTCAAAAAACTAAAACCCCTGTAAAACCAGCTTTTAATCCATAGCCTATATATTGATTAATGCAATGGGCAAAGTTTGAGTTTAAAAAAACAAGTGTGTGTGTTTAACTGTTCAAGAGTTCTAAATCCTACACACCAGTCCTTCAATGGACGAGGTGGAGCCTTCAATATTCTGTAAGATCATTCTATGTTTATGGTGCAGCGTCCTGTGAGACGTCCCTCCAGCAGAATTAGCCTTTATGCACAACTTGGTACAGAATAATACTTTCTGTAAGCCTTCATAGTGAAGCTCGCTAAAAAGATATTTTGCAGTGAAGATTTGAGTTGAGGCTAAGGCATGAGAGGAGACGGAGAAAAGGCTGGAGGGTATAGGGTAAGGAAGAGAAAAGGAAAACAGAGAGAGAGACAGAGAGGAAAAACAGGTGAACGGAGCTGCAGAGCACGAGGGAGGGGACGGCTGGAGAGATTGTCTTTCGAAAATAGTCTAAGTGGTTCGCGAGAGGGAGAGAAAAACTGTGTTTGTGTTTGTGTAACTAGTGAAGTAGTTCCTTGTTTGTTTGTTTTCAGCATAGTTGTGACCAAGGTCAAAGGCATCTCTATGATGAATGCATACAATGAGAGATTTAAGCAATTACTTCTGCAGTATACATATCCACAACACCATTATGCTACATAGGTAAGCTGAGAGTGCACTTTGTGGGCTGTTTTTTGTTCAGATGAATCTAACCATATGTTTCATCTATACTGTTGGCTGCATAATCATAGATAGTGTAACCATGTACAGATGGATGATGAATACAAGAAGCCTGTGTGTCCTATAAGATAAGAGGGGAAATCCAGGTGTTGCTGCCGCTTAAGGACAGAAATATGTACAGAAAAACTTATAAAAGTCAAAATTAATAAATAATTAGAAGTATATAAAATCAAAATATGAATAGAAATTATAAGACAAGCTGTACAAGAGCAATTAAACTCAAAATGATAGGACAAGCACTACAGTACCCGCGACCAGTGTTACTAATACTAATTGTGCAAAAAGGTGTTGGACCACCACAAGCCTCCAAAACAGCTTTATTGCTCCATGGCACAGATCCTTCAAGTTTCGGAAGCTCCATGGGTGAGCACCATTATCCCAAAAAATATTCTCTCGTTTGATGTTTGAATGATGGTGGTGGAGTCTGCCGTCTAAAGCCATGTGCACACCTCTACTTGGACTGTTTGTTTTTTTTTGTTGAAACAGCGCAGTGGAGCTCTTTGATTAAATAGAAAGGACTCGCCAAAACAACATGAAAGGAAAGCCCTCCAAGAGTCAGAACCAAATGTGAAGCTTGGTTGGCGTTGTCTGGTTCTTGTGACTAGAGAAATGAGCCAATAACGGCAAATGTCAAGTATTTATGTGATCAGCCACAATAATTCCCCTGATAAAGATACATTTTGGAGGGAAAGAGTTCATTCATCATTAACATGACAAAATAGCTTTTTGCTGTGTAAAATAAGTTAAAACCGTTTTATTTTACCTAAATAAAGCCAAAATTCTTCATATCCAGTTTCAATACAGATCCAATCTGATTCACCCTCCACTGGAATGACTCCTGGTCTCCAACAATCTGGCATTGCGTGAGGAGGTGCACACGGCATAAGGCCATGTTCACATCAACAATAGCATTGCATGAAAATACAACAAAGGATTTCATGAAAGTTGCCATGATAACTTTTTAGAGTTGTAAAATCCTCTGTCATAATATTAGAAATCACTGCGCTATCTCATAAGCCTCCAGACCTATAGAGTTATTACACAAACCGACCCTCTTGGATGGTATTTCATTGTCTCTCTGGTATCTGATACAATATTGATATCATTTTCACACTCATCAAACCATTCAGTGACCCCTGGTGCACTGTATGGAAGCGCCCACATTTGTCAGGCTTCTCCACTCATACTAAATGTATTACTACCATTATTCAGTAAATGGAAATCAATACTGTAGGTTCATGAAATGTATTTTCTTCAAATCCTGCAAAGGTACATATTCACAGTTAAAATGGAAAAATGGCTAATTAGACCTTTTGTTAGAAAACCACACAAACCAAAACCAACAGAGAAAGAGCCTTTTCTGATATGAAATATGTCTCATGTCAAGGTTAATTGAGCCTGAGCTCATGTGGTAACTAATAAGGAGGTTTATAAACTGGTGTTCAGGTGTGTGTTTAACCTCCCCTATGACTGAGGTGGCGGAGAGCCAGAACAAGTGTTGACTGCGAAATAAAACAGAGGCGGCAACAAAGGCAGCCTCAGTAGTCCAACCAGATCCAACAGCTATTATGTTTTCACGTGGTTTTCTTCGAAACTGGAGGTAGGTAGGTAGGTGACATTGTTTGTCCCAGTGGACCTACATTATCCCTTGGCCAGACAGAGTAGACAGAGATGGAAAGAGAGACAAAGATATGTAGCCGATAATTTTGACACACTGCTACACGCGTAGACTAGTGTGATTCCATTCTTGCTCAGCTCTTGCTTCTCTCCTGCTATCTTCTTCCCCAGAGACATGAATCAATTACTACTATGGCTCCAGTGCCAGCCACCGCGGGGACGTGGGAGTTTTTCGGCTTGCACTAGGCTAATTTTGGCGCCATGGGGCACGAGGAGTCAATAATCTGCCTTGTGCGGGAGGCTTAGATCGCTTCAGTATTTCAGTTGCTTTATATTGTTCCCTCGCTGCTAAGGAGGATCATAAACTTTGTCTGAAAGACCTTCCTGATATAAAGCTTTGTTACTTGCCCTGGTCTTTATTTAGACTTTCATTTCCGTGTGCAAGTCAAAATCAAACCGGAACAGAGTGGGGCTGTCAGTTTCATCAGCAGCTAACGAAAGCCGACGATCAATCAGCGTGCTGCTGTGTTAACATTTTCCTAACACTTAGAAAAGTGATCATCATTATCTTTCCACTCTACCTTCAGAAGTGTCCGTCATAGAGCATTCTCTCTCCCCAAGAATCAGTAACAATGCCAGAGATTATGCAGATTTTAAGAGCGGTTTGACAAATTTCAACCAGCTATTCATGCAGTTGTAAAGACACACAGAAGCATGTTACACACTCCTGTCTTCTCAGATCATCTATGAAGCAAATGGCCTGTCACCATGTTAGCTGTATCGACTTTAACACATTTAACTGTCTCTGCTGTCAAAAGACTGTAAAATGGTAAGAGGTGATAACGTTGCAATGCTAACAGGTACGAAGGGACGCCTGTAACGATGCTAGACACTTATCTCTTCCCCACAAGTACCCACATGAACCAAGAGGCTCCGGTGGGAAGCCACGTGGGAAGCCACGTGTGAAGGAAAGCAGAGACATAACGAGAATGGCTTGTTCTGTAATATGATTTTAGCAATGCTCGCCTTTGATTGCCCCATCAGAATTGTTGGCCTTGAAACTAACGAGCAGCAGACACACATGCCAAGAGTGAGATGCTGATAGTTGTTGGAAACGTTGTGATGAGGGCCAGTGTTAGCATGGGGCGTGCGTTGGAGCCTGCATGTTTTTCTACGATCCAAAGTGCAGGCCTCAAGAGGCGCATTTGTAAAACAGCTAATTTATCATAATTTAGCTTTTTGTACCAGAGCGCTGTCGAGATATAAGAGATTATTATTGATGTCTTTACATGATCGCACATGCTAGACAAATATGTGTCTGGCAAAATCCTGGCCCACATCAAGCCATACCCTCACAGTAACACCTTGGAGCTCTTGAGATAAATCATCCTAACCCTCTGCTGCTGGCTGCTGAGCAGCTGGAGGTTAAAAACTTTGCTCAAGGGCATCTTGCTAGTAGTCACTGAAGGGGAAAGAGAGCATTGAAACTGCCTGCTTCCTGCTCTCTCTCTCTCTCTCTCTGTCTGTCTGTCTCTGGCCACTGTCTACTGTCCATTTTCCTAAACACAAAACGTGTCACAAACTTGTATTACTTGTATTACTTGCTTCAGTCACCTGTCTCTGGGGGACTAGACAAGCTTATGTCCATCTCCTCTCTTGTTCAAGGCTCTGGTTGATTTATAGGCCAAATAATGGCCATCTACACTGACACTTTAATGTGCAGAATTTACAGGCAAAGGGTACCTTCTGCTTGCAGATGGCCCTATCATCGCCTACAGTGGCCAGATCACTTCATGTTTCGAGGCTACATGTGGACGCCATTTTATTCTGGGTTCAAGGTAGCTGTTTATCAGGCCTACTATTTGTTTCTGTGTTTACTGTCTCTGTGTGCATTTCTATTCAGGCAGACACTTGGAAATGAGAGTGGAATTTACAGCCTACATATGTCCCTGTTCCTTTACAGACTTATTAGCTATGTAAATCCAAGATTATGACATAATCATATAACTCCAGGCCGTCTGTTCCCTCGACAAGTTCCAGTAACAACTTTGGATGGTCCTCAGCTGTTCAGTGGACCAAAACGAGCAGCAATGCTATAGTACTGACATGTAAAACCTTTGTGAAATACATCAAGTATCAATAATCAGATTGTTTCTACAAATTCTTCCACAACATCAGTCTGATTCAATATGAACTGGAGCTCAGAAAGAGGTTACCTGTTGTCTTTCCCCAGATCTGTTTGATCAGGTGCCGATGCCAAGAAGTTTTTTCAAAGCTGGACTTGCTCTCGGGGCTCCCAGCATCCTACGCAACCTAACGCTGACCCCGTAGCGATTGTTATGCCAAGAGCATTGTCAAAATGCCTTAAAGAAGTGGTTAAGCACGGCTTTGTTGATAAAGCAGCCTCAGATGCCCTCTTGCAGGGTACACTGCCAGGATCTGATCCAGCCTCAAAAACTCAGTCAGCAGAAGTTTGCTTTCTAGAAATGTCTTGGTAAAGGGGACTAAAATAATTGAAACAGAAGGCAAACCAACCACTTGTCATCAAACTGCATTGTCACGTCAGGCTGAGTGTCTTTTATGCTGACTGACTTTATGCCAAGTGAATGTCACTTGTCGATCCTCCAGTATTTTCACATATAGTCTTGGGACTGGAAGGTTATCAGTTGGACTTATTGGACTAATTTGGAAAATACATAAAGCTGCTGGAATTCAACAAGAGGTAAAGGAAGTAATAAATGTCCTTGGGTATTTGAATGTCAACAGCCTGTCTGAATAAATCCCAGGTGTGAGTGACATTAAAAGGAAAACTGAAATTTGATACAATCCTGCCTCGCCTGGTACAAGAGAGTCAAATTTACCCATCCTAATCACTTTTTTTGATCTCTCTTTCTGACCTTGCTCCTAGCTATCGGCGAGCCAGTGAGGCTGGAGTGGTACAACCCCCAGGGCGAGCGCATCGTGTCGTCCAGGCGAATGGCACTCCACACGGAGACGTCACGATCCAGGCTCATCATTTACAACGCCATCATCGAGGACGCGGGTATCTACCGCTGCCAGGCCACCGACGCCAGCGGTCACACCGAGGAGGCCTCAGTGGTGCTGGAGATCTACCGTAAGCTTGACAGATAACGTGCACTCTCATGCACATTTGCACATTTACCTGTAGATGCTCTGTGTTTGCCTCCTGAGGAGATTTAGACATGGAGACATGAAGAGAATACACCTCTCACATTAGTCTTTGATCACAAGGATAGCCAGCCTATTCATATTCCAAGCCTCAGCTACAGCCACACAGCCACAAGCTTTTATAAATGGTAGCTCTATCTGTGTGCCTGTGCGTTTGTGTGTGAGAGTGTGTGTTACACTCATTCTTGTGATTAAAGTATAATGACAGCTAGTAATGCCATGGGACTGGGATCCTGCCAGGCATAATGAGGGATGTGGCACTGAGGCTAGCCTGCCGTGCTGACCCATCACTATTTCTTGGGCAAAATTCAATGTTACGAGGCAGGGAGTGGCTCAGTTGTTACAGGGACTGTCCCATCGCAGGATCAATGAATTAACCACAATTTGACCTGTTAGTGTGTCCTTGAGCAAGATCCAACTTAAATCCTACTAGCTCGTTCCTGTGATTTACTGAGGACAAGAATTAGACAATGTGGGCCAAGAATCGTAGCTACTATTCGGGGCTTCTAGCAACTTTGTGAAAGCAGTGATATTTGGGTCATTCTCAGCAATCACCCTTACATAAGATCACGGTAGCCTATGTCTAGTTATTCTGCCCCAAAACACCAGTTTGAAACTGGATATGAGTTGAGTATGAGGCTTTGGTCTGCTACCACTGCAATTTCTGAATAAAAATAGGGATAAATAAAGTTGTATTGAACTGAATTGACTGCAACAAAATGGACGAGAATGTTCTGTGTAGTAATCATACCAACGTTATACCTTATGATTCTATGTAAAGACATTATTCGTGCACTGGAACCAGATGAAAAATATAATTTGGACACTCTAACACATGAAAAAAGTTTTGGTTTTGGTCACCTGAAGGTGAATGGGTGTCATGCTAGACTCAAGTTAGTTAGTAAGCTTATGTAAGGAAGAAGGGATTCTAACAAAAGCTGTAAAAAGTCAAATGCTCTACAGGCATTACAGTGTATTTGCTCTAGCAGTGAGATGTCGCCACAGTTATAGTGGTAGTATTAGCATCTACAATCCTTCCTAGGGCTATGTTTAGGGACAAAAGGTATATCTCCCGATACTTGCAACAGCTTCTGTTCACAGAGGAGCATTGGAATAATATTATAATACATGTGAAAATATTACATAAGAACCGAATTACCCAAATACCCACACACTCCACCACTTTGATCAGGAGTCTTCCCCAGCTTTAATTGGAGAAAACGTCAAGGTACAGGGATTTGATTCCAGGAGACACACACACACACACACACACACACACACACACACACAATTATATGTGCACACACTCTGGAAATCATCACCTGCTGTGTGGTTGCCTTTTTCATCCTCGCCCAGTGAGCCATTAGGGAAGACATCACAGCCTCAATCACACCTGCCACCACTCAGCCTTCGCCTCATTCACCACATAACCAGCTCCCTAAAACCATTGTTTCCATGGCAACTGGGCGTCACTCAGTCGGGCCCTCGGTGTAGATTGCATGAGCAGCATGCGGATAAAAAAAAAAACCTGCCTAAAGCTCTAGCCAGCCGTTCTGCCAGCGCACAGCCGGAGCAGGCGAGGAGTCCTTGGGCGGTGCATGGCTCTGTGTGCTACAACATGTTGTACATGAAATTCATGACCTGTGGGAAGGAAAGTGTTGACATCCTCTCAGTAGTTGCTGACATCTCCATGATGGCCGGTTATAATCATGCTACGTGGAGTGGCAGATCTGTTTTATATCCAAAACAGGTGCCTGGTCTTCATAAAAGCATTAAAAAAAGCTGCTTGCTGGCTTCCCTGCTGGTTTAATAGCCATGCTAGTTGCTGTAGGGATTGCAGTGTCAAGTCTGTCAGTTGATCCACCACTTTGGTCTTGACTGAAATATATGTTGGATGGATTTCCATCCATACAAACAGTCATGGACCTGAAAGGATTAATTGTACTGACTCTGGTCACTTTTTTCATTTTAGGCTTTTAGTGAAATATCTTGATAACTACTCGATGGATTGCTGTGAAATTTTATAAATAGACTTTGGTGATCCCCTGACCCACATAGGGTTCACATTTATTGTTTTCAGTAAAATGTCTCTCCATCTATCAGATGGATTTCTATAAAATTGTACAGACATTCATGTCCCCCATAAGATGAACTGTAATAACCTTTATGTCCACTTAACTTTTCATCTAGCACCACCATCAGGTCAAATCTTTACACTGTCCAATACTTTGGTTCATGACCAGTTCTTACAAAACTAATGGCATTTACATCAGCCTCAATTATACTTTGTGTTTAAGGATAATTAAATGTTAACATGCCAACAACATCTTTATTGGCACCAGCATGTAAGCATTGTGCCTAAAATACAGCCTCACAGAGCTGCTGGCAAGGCTTTTGACTCTTTGTCCTGTTCTAAAATAAAACTCTTGCTGTCCCACACAAATGATGACAATCTCAATAGTAAGTTATCTGACTGCAAACTGAAGTTTACTGAGAGCAAAATTGCTTTGAATAAACTTTTTTTTTTAAGAATTTTGCAGGCACATAGGTGATATAAGGAAATTCATAATAAAATAGGCCAGCACACGGCTGGAGCCACCTCCTCTCATTTCCTCTGTTTATTAATGTACAAAGCAATAATGCTGCATAAGCCCATTTCCCAAAACCAGCAAAATTGGCTAGTAAAGACACAGACATATATGTGTCCCAGTTGAGAGAGGTCCAGGGAAATTGGCTAGTCAACTTATCAGGCAGTTATCCTCGCAGTGATGTGTAGGTGAACGACGCAAGAGAAGCTCTGGAGTACTGAGTATATCCTCAATTTGCCAGTGTCAAGTGTGCAGTAGAGTGTTACTCTGGAGAGGATGTTTCCCTTACTGATTCTCTTGTTGAGCAGCGTGACAACAAAAGAGAGGAAATGGAGACAAACAGAAGGAAACAAGTGACACAAGAAATGTTCAAACCTAAGAGAGGGATGGAGGGAGTAAAAGAGCAACAGATTTTGGAAGAACACAGGGGGGAAATTGATAAGAAACCAACTGAGTGAATGGCAAAAAACATGCAAAGGCATCCTTGAAGTTAATGAAGACACTGAGATGCCAGGCACGTTCGCAGGCGGAGGGTGCAGTCGGGGAGAGAAAGCTCATTTTAGGGAGCAGCCTGGCATAAATCTCACAGCAAAATGCTAATGCCGAAGCCTCGCTAACGGAAGGGACTGATAGGGGAGCTGTCGTTGATTTATTCACACCTTTGCAGTACAGCACGCAGATGATAGCAGGTGGTTGCAGCGCTAGCGGTGCCAGCCCCGGCGCACATCAAAGCCGGCTATCCGAACAAAAGCGGGGGGTTCGAAGAAGGATCACATGCTGTTTGAGGAGAAGTGCTGGTCCAAGAACAGTGTCCTCATAAAAGCAATTTGTCAAAACAGCAAATGTTTGTCAAGAGGGAGGACACAGCTTCAAACTGGCACAGAGTGGGATCTATTATTTAAGCTTTCCTGAAAGTGAGATAGTGAATCAAAGGCTCCCTGTGTTCTTGTTTAATTCTGCAAACAGAGAGGCTGCAGAATATCTGCTCAATGATTGTTCTTGTCATGGTTGTGATTGGCAGCAAGTGAAACGGCCACCCTTCTGTCTCATGTGCTGCTTCACCGGAATCGCCTTATCTGTGTCCCAGAAAACAGTCAAAGCAGGATTTAGCTTTTGTTTTATTTGATTTTGTGAGTGAATGCTATCCCTCCATTTCCAGTGCACTCATTGTGTCTCCTGTGCCTGTCTCCCAATACTTTACGCTTGTAATGTGAGACATTATGTTAGAAGACAGCTGTGCTTAGTAATGTAGTTTCTGCCCGCTCTAGCTGCATGGTTGGATGGATGGCAACGTTGCTCTGTCCATCATTTTGTTAATCCACCGCTTTGTTTTTTCCAGACTGAAATATCTCCAAAACTATTGAATGGATTTCAATGAAATTTGGTGCAGACATTCGTGGATGGATTGTGGTCTTTATTGATTCTTTAACTTTTCATATAAAGCCCTCATCCAGTTAAAATCAGTCCAACATTTTGTTTTATCACCAAATACCTGCAAAAAAGACATTCCCATCACCACCAGTCGAGCTACACCTGATAAGAAACAGTTGGTATTGAATATTAACAAAATAAAATATTTCAAAATGAAAGATTAGGAGCAGGGTAAGATGATACACCAGAAAGCTTGAGTGCTACTAAAACCAATATTCTGTATTGTGTCCAGGTGAGCATTTTTTCCTTTTGCAGTCGCTGTTTATGTTCAGTACAGCAATGCATGCTGCCAGGTGGCCAAATAGAGGCCACCATAAAACTTAAACCTGCACTATCAATAAAACCAGAAAACTATCTTAAAACAGCAACCACTCAATTTACAGGATGCCACCTAGACAGAAAACAGGAAGAACATTTATTTTAAAGCAATGTTTCACAAACCTTCCACCCTAAACTGTGTCTCAAACAGTTATAGTTAACAGGCGGTTTCTTATTTTCCTTCTGACGTGCAGACCTGCAATAAATTGTCTTCTGAAAGCTGTTCGATCTCCATCTTGTTTGATCTCTCAGAGAGGCTGACGTTTCGGGATGTTCAGTCACCGCAGGAGTTCCGCCACGGTGAGACGGCGGAGGTGGTGTGTGACGTCATTAGTTCACCGGTGCCCGTGGTGGTGTGGTACTACCAGGACAAAGAGATCACGGAGGAGCACCACAGTAAGTTTTCATGGTCTTATTTTACCATGATAGAATGTTCTTTCCTTTGACTACTGTTATTATTTTATATATGTATGAAATATATTTAAGGGGGTGAATAGAAGGAGAGATACATTGGAAGACAATTTCTATAGATATACACATACTTTTACTTTACTTAAAACAGATTCAGAAGGACACATGACCCTGAAGTGGTTTAGAAAATAGATGAATAGATGAAGCTGCAAGATTATTCTCAGGGAAGAAAATCAGTCTAAATTTGAATCAAATAATCAACTTGCTGATAATGTGACGGTGTTTTTAATTACTAATATTATCATTATTATTTCTGCTTATCTCTAATACTGTTATAATTGCTTTTTTTGAAGACTGACTTTTGTAATACAGTTAGTTACTAAGTAGGACAACGAGATTTTGGAGCAATGATAGTGTGCCATGCATAATGTTTCATGATACACTGTCCGGCCGCTGGTTTCACGCCATTCCGCTGATTGAAAGTTGGTTACAGTACCTTTAAAACAAATGAATGGTAAAAATTGTGAATAAAATAGATACAATTTTTATTCTCAGAGCAAGTGTAAAGTTTTTATTAAAGCCCCTAAAAACTACAGTATGTCTTTGTAGTGTTAAACATTAACGACTTAAAAAGCAATAATCAAAGTTAAAAGTGGGCAGCAGGGAATCCTTAGTTATCAAATTGATGAAAATGTTATGTATGTATTTTTATTCTGTGCGGATACTTGGGGTCATTCAGGTGTTTTTAATCTTATTTCACATGAGCGATTTCTGTATGTGTTTTTGTCCTGCTCACTGGTTTGAAGTGGATGGAAAAAGGTGATATTGCGTGCACCAATCAGGATTTAGGAACATATCAGACACCATAGGAGACCGGCACAGTCTTAACGAAGCAAGCTTTTACATTTTTTACTTTTTTTTTAAGGTTATTTATTTAGTAATAAATATTTAATCTTATGGAGAGAAAAAACTAGACTGAAAACCATATTTTCAGAGGCTTTACAGAGTAGTATAATTAGTAGTGTAAGTGTTGGAAAAAATAACTCAACGCAACACTTCTCAGCATTATTAAACTGTGATTATTCTTGATTATTCCAGAAGATTATGATCGTAATAAAAGCTGCAAGTAAGCAGCAATCTCCAAAAGATTAGAGTATGAGTGTAAACCTGCCAAATACACTTGATTGTTGAAAGAGAAATGCTCATGAGTACAATTCTCTCTCTCTCATTGAGAATGCGTGCTAATGTGCCAAAAACACTGTTCTCGAGGAAATGCTATTTCCTTCTTTTTGTGTGGATTCACAATACGACAAGGATATCAAATTCTATGAATAGAAACCCCATCAGCCCCGGGTAGGCGTATACCTTGGCCAGAGACCCTGTTAACCAGCGACTGAGAGAATGGATTATAGTGCGTTCAGAGTGGTGACATTGGAAGAGATGCTGCTTCTCATGAAGATAAAATGCACCCTGCATCTTTTGAAAAGAGGTATTTCCAGCAAACTACAATAATTCACGATCACATTGTCAATTATATTCTGTCCCGTTTGATCTAAAGCTGATCTATATCATTTTTAAAGCTCTTCCCTCTAATCTCAGTCGCTTTAATGGTGTAAAATATCGGGAGGGTGGTCTAGTTAATTTGCTAAAAAAGACAGATTGAGGCAGAGAAGCACTCAGAGGACAAATTAACTTTCAGTAATATTATTTTGTGATAGAAGGCAGGTGCAATAGTCGGAACCAGTGGAGTAGGATTCATTATTTCCTCCTCCCTGATTTACAACTCTCTACACCACTTCCCCATCCTCCTTCTAGACAAAATGCATGCCTGAACACTGATTAGAAAGAGTGACCCCTTGAATCTGTCACGTTTTTTAATTGAAATTCAAATCTTCGGTGTCACGGTGGTGATGAAACGTGGAAACATGTTTTCTTTTTTTTTTATCATTTCTCTCTAATTTCAATGCATGGGTATAAATATATTAGCTTGAGAGAAATGAGATAGAGGCCTCATCACTCCTGGCCAATCTCACAGTGGCCACAATGGGAGAGAGAGTGGAGACTATTTGGAACTGTAATTGCGTTGGTGTTTATCTGTGTGGACTTTATCAGGTAAATGTGCTGAAGTGAAGATTGACAGTCTGGCTACTGAAGAGTGGAGATGGCAATTTTGTTCCGCTGTTTTGCTAACTTTCTTATCTCGCTTCTCTCTCTATCATACACTGTTGTTCTTTTGTCATTTCCTCTTCCCGCTCTCTCTCTCTCTCTTGGATTACTGTCCATCCTCCTCTTTACCTGTGCTGTGAAGGCAGGTTCCAGGTGCTGGCAAACAACAACCTCCAGATCCTTCAGGTGACCAAGGCTGACGAGGGCGTGTACCGCTGCGAGGCCAGCGTCGAGGCTCGTGGCGAGATCGATTTTGTGGACATCGCTGTGGTGGTCAACGGTGAGTTACATTTTGAGTCGTTATATCTGGATATGGAAAGTTGTTTATTTCGCCTTGAAGAGGGCTGTAACAAACTGTTAATGGCCACTTGGAGCTGTCTGCAGGAAATTCTAAAAGTCAATGTTTTCTGTAAGAAAACACAAAGATGACTCTTAAGCTTGGGGTTTGTTTCATGGCAAGTATGTTTGACCTACAGGTCTCTCACCTCTGCTCTGTCTCACCTCAGCTCTATCCTTTTCTCTAAGTACTGAAATTGACAAAGTGCTAAACCCTAATCTAATTTTCAAAAACATGCAGCATCCTTGTATCTCTACAGTTGAAACTTGTTGAGGTCTTACTATCTTGTAAGTCTGAAAATGCACAGGAATGAAGTTCCAAAAAGTTCTGAATAGCTTAAAGTTGCATAGAACACTTCTTCTTGTGCAGCATAATCCTCTTACTGTGACATAGCCCAGTAAAACAAATCTTATTTTCAATGAACTATCAGCATTTATCTCATTGAATACAAACCAAAGCTTCCAAACCTCGCTGGTCTTTACTACGGATATTTAATGGAAGCTATGCAAAAAACAGATTCCAAGCACCCTTCACACAGTGTCAACAGATTAGCATGCATCAGAGATTGAGTTTCTTTCTGCTTACAGACGTTTTGTTGTTGCTGTTGAACATCACTCATTAATTCCTTTCTGGAGCAAGTCTGCAGGTGCTGAAGGAGCAGCTTAGCATCCTTGAGGAATGCAAAAGAAAATAGGAATCAGTGTCACATTGTTAATCTTGTATTAATTAATAATGATTTGTTAACTGGAAAATGTTTTCTTCAAGCAACTAAATAGTGCTGTTACTAAATATGAAAGCACATACATTATAATACCGTCATGATGTCAGTTTATCACTAAAGTGTTGTCGAACTTGTTACTAGACTGCTACAACGTCAAGTTGACCCGGAGCTTGTTTACAGTGTTAATCAAGTAAATGATTCTGAAACAGCTCCCACTGATGTGCAGGAACTGAGCTGGTAATTCAGGTTGAATACATGTAGTATTAGAACAGTTGTCAGCTTTGACAGGTTCAGCTCCACTGACTCAGATAAGTTCATCGTTGGCACACTTATAGCAGGTCTACTCTTTCTGCTACAACTGGCGACGTGATTTTTTAATGTGATTGAAAATTTCAATTAGCGATGGCTTTGGGCTCTGTGGCCCAAAAATCGAAGGATGTCATTTTAATTTTCTCATTTGTCCTCATTTACAGCGAGTCACCTGAGACTGCTGAAGTGATTGAAATGTGATTGCACTAAGGCCACGAGCGTCCTGTAACGGTTGAACAGCTGCAATATTGTCTCTGCCTATGTAATTCTTTCTCACCTAATGTAATAGCAGAGCGGCCCTCCGCCCAAAAACTATGAATTGCATTCAATTTAGCACACCACTTACCTTACTTCTGAGGAAGATCCAATAAGCCTGCTCAATGAGGCACAACCTATTATTACAGCGACACGACACTTGCCATGTGGTGCAGAGACGGTACGGGCTGCGGAGCACTCTGCTGTGCATCCTGAGAGGAGCCACACCCGGAGGGAGTCACTTTAAAGTGAACTTCTCTTTGCCTCAAGGAGACTCATTCTGCTGATCCCTAAAGATTCTCACATTTAGACGTGCCCTAAGCTGAGCCTGAAGGAGACACAATCTGATTTGTAGAAACACCATTTGGTCCGCGTGAAATATATAAAGTACTCAGAGGAAACTAAGACTTAATGAAACTAATGAGTTTGTCCAATATGGTACCACCGGGTTGGGGGACATCTGTTACAGCAGTACATGCACTTTTGTGTACTTTTTTCTAAGCATTCATAATGTGCTCTTAAACCCGTCCATCTTACTAATAGCGCATATATTTTACTTAAAGCTCCTATAATCTATGTTTTTATGTTAACAAAGATTCAAATACTACGGGTTATGTGTGTTTTAGTGTCTTTCAGCTCTTGTTTAGGTTTCAACAGCCGGCAGATTCAGTGTTTTTTTGTTATTTTTCATCAGCATAATTCATCAGCAAAAAAAGACAAATCTGATGACCCAACAGTACAGTACGTACCCAACTGGCAAATGAACAAAGTAGACTTTCCAGTAGACAAACTGTGTGTTTATAGCTGCCCCCAAGAAAATCTATTATTGCAAGTTTCATTTTTCTTTCTTTGCAGTACTTTTATCATCTTCCTTACAAACAGTTTGGACGTTTGTAGTCTACTACAATAGCAAACAGGCATTTACTCCGAGGTCAGCAGTTGTCCTGTGGTCCAGGGAAACTTTAAGCTAAGCTTCTGGCATCAAAGAGAGCTCGTCTGATGGTGACAGAAATGGAAAGGACACTTAAATGCCACATACTGTTATTGGGCAGGTGATTAAAAAGGTCTGCCTCTCTTCTGTTCTGCACATTTCAGTCAATATGTGAAGCACAAGTTGTGAGAGAACAAGGTGGTGGACGTGCAAAGTGGCTGTCTTCTCAGCGGATTAGCTCGCAGTAGCTCCTTTGGTCTCAGGAATCTACAGAGTCCCTAAGGAGTTTTTTTTCAGTGCACTAAGGCCTGTGATGTTCAGGAAAGCCATGTTGCACCCATGCTGTAGCCTAAAGGCTTAACTGTTTGCATAGCAACCCCATGCAAAACATTTCCATTCCCTGCTCTGAAGCTAGAGACGCACATTTCTTCAAACTCGGAGAATTCGCTAGTATTAATCCCCTTCTATGGGTTGCAATCATGAAGGCTTGGTGGAGCAAGTGGAGCCATCTTTGCAGAGGATTTCCAAAGGAACAGGAAGCTCACGAAGGGTTAGCAGAGAATATACAGCATTGACAACAACCTGGCTGGTCGAACAGCACAGAGGCCCTGAACACAAGCAGATAGAGATAGAGTTGATTGCTAGAAGGCTCAGATATAACAATGAGTGCAACAGACTGCGCTACATGTTTTATCAATCAGCTGTGGACAGTGAACTCTTCTGTGTTGCGGTGCCAGGGGATATGGCATTGAGGTAAGAAAAACAAACTGGTGAAAGACAAAAAAATAACCACCAGAGTCTTTCTCTGTCTGAAGAACTCAGGAGGAAGAATAAAGAAGAAAGGACGAGGACTAAACTGATGCAGCTACAGCGCAACTTCAGGCCCCATCTCCCCTCCTGAGGATCTGTATTCAGTACTTAAAGCTCTCTTTTATGCCAAAGTCAGGATGGACATTGATTCTTGTCCACACCGAAGCAGCGACAGCCAACAGAGAGGGAGATGAATCTGGACACTTTCCTGCACAGATCATCCTGGACTGCTTTTTGGATCCGTCTTACAGTGTGCAGCCATTATTTTTTCTTGGCTGTAGCTTACTAGTCACTGCTTCAGTAGCCGAATTCTTTTTTTTTTTTTTAACAACTTTATTTAAGGCATTTTCAGTTATAGAGACAAAGGTGAACATACATACATACACAAACATATCAGTTCTCGTGAACATAATCCCATACTAGTACCATCCCCACATACCCTCCCCTGGGACCAAGAGTACAAGGAAAAAAAAAAAAAAAAAAGATCCAATGCTGCATAAGTGTAACATCAATGGGCTAGTCAGACAGGTTGACAAGAGAGAGGACCAAGATAACGTGGTTGGTTACAGATTTAACTTCTTAACATACTCAATAAGGGGAGACCACATTCTGGTATATGTGTCACAAGAGCCGTTCAGTGTGTGTCTTATCTTTTCTAACTGAAGTAGAGACAGCACCTCCTGAATCCATCTCCTGAAGGGTAGGCATTTGTTAGATTTCTAATTCAATAAAATCACCCTGCGAGCTATAAGGCTACAGAATGCTATTGCTCTCTTTTGTATATTAATGGTACATGTTTCTGAGGGTGTGACTCCAAATAAAGCAGTGAGTGGATTGGGTTTGAGAAAAAAAATAAATATAGGTTTGTTTGGTTTCTTTGTTTTTATCCAGTTAATTATTTCACAACCCTTCAGACATTTTGTGCCCCAGTGGAAGGTCTCCCAACCACTAATTTAACCCAAATCAGCATTAGCTACAGGCATACAATGCAAGTGCAAGGAGTCTTGGTGTATACAGCCACTTTTAGGCATGCACCTTGTTATGTTAATATGATGGCAATTTCACATGGCTCACATTTTTTTCAAATGCCCAAATCAATTTTCCATAAAAGTCATGACTTTAATCTTGCTAGGGGTTGGTAGGTGGCATCACATTAATGTACAGACTGCAGTAGAGAGAGAGATTAAACCATCAACCCTCCAAATTATCACCAAAATATGGGGGTAATCCATTAACTTGATTGGGGATAAATAATTTAATCTTGCGTAATCTTGTAGACTTAAAAAATCTATAACCTTGTAGGAAAAAAATGTTTTTTGGGCCTTGTCTTATCTTTCATATTACAATCTTATATTTTATTTGTATTGTTTTTTATGTTCTCTTTTTTACTTTTTTGTTATTGTTGTTACTATTGGTGGGTCAAAATGCTATTTTTTCATTGTATTAACATAAAGCGTTTTTGGGCCAGTGTGCATCACGTGACGGACGCCATTGCTCTAATTACACGGTTCGGCCACTATGCGGAATTGGCTTCAAATCTTTGACCTGACATTCGTGTAAATTATAAACGATATAATAGGTAGACCATTGACAGTATATAGTTTTTTAATTAGTCGGATAGTCGCAGAAACAAACACAAAAATAAAGGGGCCCTTGTGACCGGACGAAAGTATCCGAGGTTTGTTGCAACACGGACCTTTATCATAGTTACTGCTAACCGTTGACAGTGAGGTGCTAGCTGCATAGACATATATTTTTTCATTTATATTTTTTTTGTAAAGTTTGAAGTTATTTATTACGTGTTTTGAACAACAATACTTTATTGTTGAAATACGTGAACTAAAAGTTCCAAACAGCCCAATAGTATCGTCACCTTACATCCTCCTGTCATAACTACCACAGCCACTAGGGGGCTTT